CGCCCTCGGATCCATCAGATAGAAGTAGATGCTGTGGTCGACGAGGTAGTCCTGGCCCGCTTTGACGTGCTGCGGTGTGCTAAAGTACACCCTGTACTTCTTGCACATGGCCTTGATCTCGTCGTACGTGCCCGTCAGCCCGATGAACTTGGGGTGGAACTCGGCGAGGTATTCCTTGAGAACCGGCGGCGTGTCGCGTGCCGGATCACACGTGACGAATATGGGAAGAATCGATCCAGGTCGCTTCTCCTCCACGAGGTCGAACATGCGCGCCATCTTGTCGAGCTCGTCGGGGCAGATATCGGGACAGTGGGAGAAGCCAAAGTACACCTAAGGGGCACAGCAGGTTAGCCGCTGCACGCTGCCTATCCACAGACTGTCCAGAGCACCATTGTTCCTGTCACCCTACGTACCAGTGCATACCGTCCCTTCATGTCCTCGCTCGTGAACGCGTTGCCGTTCTGGTCGATCAGCTCGAAGGGGCCGCCAACCTTGGGCTTGCCCACGCCCTTGGTGGCATCGGCAATGCGCTTCCGCTGCATGCGCTCCTTTTCAAACTCAAAGTACCACATGAGACCGCCGGCCGTGGCGACGAACAGAATACCGGCCTTCCAGGAAAAGGGCTGTGCACATTGGTTAGCCGGACCGTCCTCTGCCGACCGGGCGCTGGGCCGAGCCGTATTCTTTGGAAACACCCACCCCTGATCGGTACCGACTCTTCTGCTCTGCGATGGACTTGTACACCTTGGTCCTCTTCTGCATGGTGAATTGGTTTCGCGCGGCCTGGAGAGGGCTTGGCGCAGTCGCTGGTCGGACGTGCTTCGCTGTTGCCGCCTGCGAGAGGCATCGTCGGCACTGCTGGGCGGATGCGCCGAGAACGCTCCTGAAGAGCGTCCTTGCTGGTGCCAAGGCGTTTGACATGTTGGCTCGTAGGCGTAGAATCAGTGGCGAAGATGATGTTGCCTGGGAATCAATCCGGGGTCGAGTCCAACATCGTAAGATGCCGAAGCTGCCACACTGGAGGTAGGGTGGCCCGGGCGTCGGGATGCCAAAAAAACATGCTCGATAAGCCTCACACCCCGACATTCATCCGGTATCTCGGTGAGGTATGCCGACGTGTGTTCACCGAGTCGTCAACTCACCACCCAAACCCACCACTCCAGATGCTCTCATCAAATTGGCAAGAGTCGAGGGTGTTCTTGATCAGTATTTCGTACACAACTCATAAAATCATCGACAGTATTATTTCGCGAGCCACGTCTGTCGGCTTCAACTCGAACAGAAAATTGCTTGCTGCCCTTCCCACACATATTCCTTGGTCGCATCGGGCAAGCAAGGGTGCATCACGATGGATCACGCTGGTGATCAACAAGCCGCCGGCAGGTCACCCTCTTCGGGGCCCGCCAGTAGGCAACAGGAGGATCACGACATGCCAGATGCACAACCAACAGCGCCATCTCCACATGAGAGGAGTGTCCCTCCATCTTCCAACACAGTCCTCCCCTCAACAGAAAAGCCACCACCTGCGGCGCCGAAGAAGCGCGGTCAGGCTGCAGTCAAGAAGCCCACTAAGCGCAGCAAAGGCAACCCCGGCTCCCGCGTCGGCAAGAAACAAACGGCACCAAAAGCGTCCAGTGGCGATCAAGACGACGATGGCGACTCGGCCGCGCAGCTTGAGGAGCGCGGCGCTGCCAGCCCGTCCCCTGACGACGACGACTCCATCGACCCGGGTCCCTACTGTCTGTGCCGCGGCCCAGACGACCACAGGTTCATGATCTTCTGTGACATTTGCCAGGACTGGTTTCATGGAGAGTGCGTCGATATGGACAGGGACGTCGGTAACAACCTCGTCGAGCGCTTCGTCTGTCCCAACTGCACAGACCTGGCCAACAACGTGCGCACCCTCTACAAGAAGACGTGCTCCCTCAAGAACTGCACCCAGGAGGCGCGTCTTTATGGTGACCGCGAGACCAAGGAGGAAGTCAAGCTCGAGGACAAGAGCGTCTTCTGCTCCGACGCGCCCCCCCAGCTGTGGTGGGAGAAGTACGTCGCCGCCATGGT